TTTATATCTTATTCAACTGAGTTCTTCTTGATATAAACATAAGAAATAATTACATTCAAGAACCAATATGATTTATATCTTATTCAACTGAGTTCTTCTTGATATAAATATAAGAAATAATTGCATTCAAGAACCAATCTGAATTATATCTTATTCAACTGAGTTCTTCTTGAAGCTGTTGTGCCTATATTTCTGCTAATATTAGTTTGCACATCAAGATTGATTGTTATCTATTTGATTAGTTGGTTGGCATAAAATTCAATCTCAGACACGTACGTATAAAAACAAACAAGTTTTGTTATGTTTCTTGTTTATTCTTTACTCTTGTTAGTTTTGGAAAATGTATGTACAGTCCAATAGATGTTATAACATAACTAAGATATAACGCGCGCTCTGATTGGTTCACCACCTATGAAGAAAAAATGTATGGAGAACTCGTATGGAGCACCTGGTGAGGTCAATTTGGTGAAAATTCTGAGAAAATTGCAAGCATTCAGATAAAACTAAAAAGACTACTAACTGGTCTACCTTTCTGTACATTTAAAGGTAAAATATAACTATTGATTTCCTTTCAATTAAACTAACTAAAAAACTCGGCCTTCAACCGACCAGCTCACCACATCGAAATAGAGAAGTCTTGCAGTTGAGAAGTCAATTGGTTCAGTTTTCTTACTCAATCCGCCGCACAGGTCACCACAGCAGTCCAGCTTAACGCCATGATGGTTACTGGAGTCCAAGTAAATCCACTGATGCATTCCTTCGACCCTGTTTTCGAGAAATTTACGGTTCAAAGTTTTCAGATAATTTGTGATGCAGACAAGCGCCAACAAAGATCGCTAAATCGACTTCTCCTCAGTCAAATGAACTGTAAAACTTTCTTGTGAATGAAAACATTTAATAATACAATTAGGAACTGCTTCCCTTGCATGAATTTTTCGGAAAAAGTTTTCAAAATGAAGTTTAAAATGCAATTTGAGCTGTTTTTGCTCCTAACACGAGACTTGACTGATTTCAAATTCAGCTCGTAAAGCTCGTGCTCGCATCTTAGGAGAATCTGTGATTCGATCATAGTGTAATAAACAGTTTGTATCATGTAAAATTGTTCTTTATGTTATAAAAGCAACGGTCAATGCTATAGCAGTGCGTAAATCTATTGATGGTGCACGCGGATAGTTGGGAGAGCACGATGGTAGCTAGAGTTGCCTCAGCTCTTACAACTCTTACGCTACCATCGTGCTCTCCCAACTATCCGCGTACACCACCAATAGATTTACGCGCGCTAAGCATTGACCATTGCTTAATTAGAATTGTTTGTGAACTGTAGGATTGCATCTTGTTTCCCTTTGAATCTTGGATAACATTTCATAGGGTTTGCATGTATTTCAAATAATAGTGGTCTTCTTCTTAGAGTTTGAGATATATTATGCAATTCTTTAATTAGTTTCTAGAAGAAAGGGAGGAAGGGCGTGAATTATTAATTAAAGTCAATGGCATCCCTTTCGTTTTTCCTTGAATACGACAAGGTAACATGAATATTGGGCCGACACTAGAAAATCAAGCCATCGTGTGGCGAACTCGTGGATACTAGTTGCGCTTTTCAGAGATTGTGTTCCCTGTGCCCTTCTTATGCTTGTTGACATTCAAAGGATTCTAGTATTTTGCTCGATTTCACATTTTATATGCTCAGCTTAGCTGGTAAGATGAGTAAACGTCCTTTTATTATCCTTTTAACGCCTACTTTGTTTAGATCTTTGATATTTTGTTGAGTTTGGAAGGAAATTCTCCGATGAAAAGACGTTTTCGATTTCAATGGAGTCAACTGAGTCAAGTATAGAGTAAAATTGAAAGATCTATTTGCTAACGCTTTCTCTGTTTTCAATTCAAAAGTCGGGCTGAATGATTTTTATATTTCTGAAATCATTCGACCTACAAGCTTAAAACTGAATATACGAGATAATTTGCCCGTCTGCCGCTACTACTTATCTTGACCTTCAAGGGTCACGGCTCCTACATTTGTTTCGAAGGAAACTATTTATTTACACTGTGAACTAAGCGAATATTTTATAGAAATTCGTTTAGAAATGCTAGTTTTAAATTTGTCTTCATTCAAGTCTGTAAAAAAATAATGATTATTTATTGGAGCGATATATGTTGACGATTGTACATAAAGCGTTTCTGTTTACTTAAAATCAAACGAGTAAAAAGGAAAAACAAGAAGAAGTCTTCGAACTTAACGAAGATAACTCTTCCGAAGTGTTTAGATACCCGGCACCCGGGAACTAATTTCAGAATATTAGATACCCGGGAGTTTTAAACACATCTTTGCCCATTTAAAGTATTCTTACAGTAATGATGAAAAAGTAAATTATGCACCGTGAAAAGATGAAAAAACTTACTGACGTTTCGGACGCTAGTCCTTCGTCGGAGTAAGAGAGGAAAGTATTCTTAGTTTATTTAGAATAGTCAAGCACTTCTGTTAACGATAAATACGAGATCACATTTCTATATTCAGACCCCTCACAATAACTCGTTGCTACGCTTCGCATATCCACGAGTTAAAAACGTTTGTGAATGCGTGCATTTCAGCACGTTTTCTAAGAATTTGAAGAGTTTGATTGAGAATGAAATGTTTGTTTCCTCCGAGTGCACGAAAAAGTTTGGAAGTATACTTTTGCCAGACTAAGATACTGTATTACCAAGCACAGTATGAAAGAATAAGCCTTAAGTTTCAAGCATGGACACTAAGTTTGCATAATCTGCATACTATTTAATAGCATGTGCAAACGTTTTTCATTCGTGTCTATTGGGCCATCATAACAAAATAAAGAGCATTAGATCGATCTCTGTGGGAATTTATCAAGAAAAGCTGCGTCATATTCTTAAAACGAACGTCTAGGGTGGATCAATTTATGTAGTCAGTATATAAGCAAGTTAAGCAAGCAAACTTTACTCACAAAGTCCACGTGAACTTGAAATATAAAATTAGAATCTTTCTTCTTTCTATGACAGTTTGCCTTACATGGATTAGAACACCCTTGGGGCGAAGACAACTAAATGACAGCCTTTTAGAATTTTTACGGTAATTTCAATTATTTTTTGTAAAGAACTTTAAATATAATACCGGTTTTCGTAGTGTTATATTTTTATGTGAAAATCATTTGTAAGATGTAAGACCATATCTCTTTTTTGTTCGGCGTTTCGGGGTGCAAACAAATTGTCGGGTTTTTTTTCCGCGGTCCCCCGTTTGTGTCTGTTTGATGATTATTTGTAAGAAGAAGACCATTAATATTATATTTGAAATACATGCAAACCTATAAAATGTCATCCAAGATTCAGAAGGAAACAATATGTAACCCTACTGTTCACAAATAATTCAAACATCTATTGCACTGTCTGTTTGATAATTATCATAATTATTTTATTAGCATGTGTCAATCACAGGCTCTATGAATAGCGAATTTRATTGCACAACAGTCCATAATTCTTTTGGAAGCACAATTAAAAGCACAACTCATCTATCAAGGTATGTTTCCAGCTTCTTTTGTAACACCTTTCTTCTTTCTTCATGCTTTTAGCCTGAACAACCTTACAAAAATGCATTTGTTTTCAATACTCTGCGTGTTGAATGTAATTGAAATTGGATTGTTAGCGAGCAAATGAACATTTTCGACGTGCGTTTTATTGCAATAAACATTTTCTCGGATAGATTAATAAACTAATTCGGGATTAGAAATTCGGGATAAAATCGCATTCGCACTGAAAAGGATTCTAAAAAGTATGAACTGGCTTATTCTGCTAGTGGTGCTAGTGGCTAGTCACTACTCATGCTTTTCTTTCCTGTACACAAAAGCGTTTTCACACATGAGAGACAAGTCATTCCAGAACAAGTTATTCGAATTGGTCGCCATATTTCATTTCGGTGTAGCAGATATCAGAGTTACATTTTTCAGCTTTCAAACGATTGTTTCGAGTCGACACATTTGGCAACGATAAAGTGAATGATTAGAAACTAGTTGATATTCAACCATTCGTAACAATTCAAAACAACTTGTATTTGTCAACCATGCATCACACCCCGTACGTACGGGGCTTTTCCGTGGGCTTGCTCAACACGTACTACCACTACATTCTATACTTTCAACTTGCAACACACAACTGTTGATCTCAAACTCAAATGTTCATTCTATACGGTGGAAGGAAAATCGGAGAACAGCCCTCGTGGCAAGTGTGAAAATACTCACATCAAACAAACTCAACTTACACATGATCCAGTCCACGCTACTCATGCCATAGAAATCCAGGCGTTGCCGGTCGAGGCTGACATTAGTTCACTGATTTTGATTACGTCTGACTCCTTTTTGATCCAAATCCAACAATAATGGTTAAAGGCAATGTAGTGCAGCTATATATCTTCTTTATTTGTGAATCAATGATTTTAAAATCTCTGTGGCTCAAAGCTTACTTAGGCAGTTGATAGTGTTTCTCAGCATTCTCGTGCCCTGTTATCCTCGTTTCGTTCCTCCCCAAAGCCTCTTCGGCATTTGGTACAAGACAGCTAGATGCTGGTCTGCGTATCACCTTATTTAATTTTGCTAATTAAGAGGCTGTCTCAGTAAAAGTCGTCCACTGAATTTATTTTGAAAAATGAATTTTTCTCAAACTCAGGTTATAGAAAGACTTCATTGAGTTTATCACTGATATGAATTTAGTTTGGCTCAAAAAACTATTTTGGCTGCACTAGGAGCCATTAAAGTTTCGATGGCTTTGGGCCAGTAACGAACCCTGGCTGACCAAAAATATAGCACGTACTCACAGCGCTCTATAARAATGATTTCGTAGCTTCCAGAAACTTTTTTATGCTAATCTGTAGGCAAACTATTGTAGTTTCACTAGATAAAAGGTTTTATTCAATCCGTTTAGCCGTTAGCAAGAAAACCAGCAGATTGTGAGCCCTACTTGAGACGGTGTCAGCAAAGGCAAAAAATAAGAGCTTGAATTGAAAAAGTGGCACTTGTCTTCAAGCTTTTGCCTGCATAACCGAAGACTTCTATCATTTAGTGATACAAATCAGCAATAACCTGTGTACGTTTTCTTTCTTTTTTTTTTTTTTTGAAAGTTTGTATAACTTAGAGAAGTTTTCGAGTTGAAGTATCTGATCGGTATGGCATCGTACCAGTGCATTTTAAGTAAAATGCAGCTCACCTGCTTCCTATGTCAACCTCTTTCCCTCCCAAGCCATGCTAGAATACTTTCAGATCATAAAAAGTCCATATAGATTCCGTTTGAAGAGAATATTGAGCGTTCTTAACATTGATACACTAGACGAAAGTGTTCCAGCTGTGAGTCACCAAAGGCTCGATATGATGGAATTTCAAGGAGTCGAATTTTCTCTGTTGAGATTGGTCGAGCAGTGCATCTAACAGAGAACGTTTCCCAAAACACTCGAGGATAAATTTCAATGGCAAAAAGTTACGAAGAAAGACTTAAAACCCAAGAATACTACTCGCAAACACTCACTCCTGAACTAATCTAAGCATTTCGTGTTATTGCTGCTTTCCCGGAGGTCCGACCAATTGGGAGAGACTGCTGCTTTAATGTCGCGGGGTCAATAGACTATTTTTTCCCCTTCCATTTTTATTTTTATCCTTCATGTCTTCTTAGTTAGTTAGTTTTTTGTGATTCCTTTCTTTCTTTCTTTCTTTCTTTCTTTCTTTCTTTCTTTCTTTCTTTCTTTCTTTCTTTCTTTCTTTCTTTCTTTCTTTCTTTCAGAGGACTCTAATAAACACTGGAGGTCGTCGTCGTCGTCTATCGACATTCCGACCAAGCCTTTTCGGCGTGCTGCCGTAAGACGCGAGAAAAACCCTTGTATTTGTGTCTTTGTCAACCAGTCTGTGCGGCTAAACTGTCGTTTGTTGGAGGAATTTGTCGACGTTCTCATGTTTATCGCGACCTGTGCTGGGTCAGCCTTCTTGCCTGTTCTCTCTCCAAGCACATCTAGTGCTATAAGATATTTCTTGACTTTCTTCGAGAAGCTAACGTTACCCCGTGCTTTTGGTAAAGCCCATCCGGTCTTAAGCAGAGGACTCTCTTTATTAGCTGTTTCAGAGGCTACTTTGCTTGTAGTCTTTCCTCTATTGGATTCAATAGACGAGAACTTTGCTGCCCAGTCTATTCTTATCTTATYGTACTGACTTATCTTGGTGTGCTTGCCAACATCCAAATGCCACTCAAGTTTTGCAAAGTTCTTGAATGCTTCAACACAACCTGGAACAGAGCATCTTCAAACAGCGACACTTCATTATCTTCTTCGTCATTTTTGATCTTACGTTTCTCAGTTGACTCACAGAAACCCTTGCCTTCCAGAGTTTGGAGCATGGTCGGCCCTTGGTGTTCTACAAAGACTTTATCATAAGGAATCAGCTTTCCACAGCCAATGCCGTAAGATCTCCAAACTCTCACTCCAGTATCTTCATATTGAAAGTTATGATAGCTGCTGAAATGTTCGATTTTCTTCCCATGTTTTCACGGTGTTTCTCGCAAATCCACATATTCTCTACTTGACTTGGTGATAAATCAAATAATCCTGTTCGTTTTAAGATTAGGTCAAACAATCTCAACAACCCAATCATCTGTGACAGGTGACAGGCAATCAGGTGACCTGAAATGCCATTCTTACACTCTGACAAACGGCTAAGCTCAAAATTGCAACAACCACCTTTTCCTCTAGCTTCAAATAAGCATTTGCCTTCCATTTTACCGGCACAATAAAAGCCCAATAAAATATTTTCCAGTGTAACATCGACTAACACAATATTTATTGTGTCAGCGGTTTGCCCAATAGGTCGAACCTCTGCGAAAGYAGCAATAACACRAAATGCTTAGATTCAGGAGTGAGTGTTTGCGTAGTATTCTTGGGTTTTAAGTCCTTCTTCGTAACTATTTGCCATTGAAATTTATCCTCGAGTGTTTTGGGAAACGTTCTCTGTTAGATGCACTGCTCGACCAATCTCAAAAGAGAAAATTCGACTCCTTGAAATTCCATCATATCGAGCCTTTGGTGATTCACAGCTGGAACACTTTCGTCTAGTGTATCAATGTTACGAACGCTCAATATTCTCTTCAAACGGAATCTATATGGACTTTTTATGATCTAAAAGTATTCTAGCATGGCTTGGGAGGGAAAGAGGTTGACATAGGAAGCAGGTGAGCTGTATTTTACTTAAAATGTACTGGTACGATGCCATACCGATCWGATACTTCAACTCGAAAACTTCTCTAAGGTATACAAACAAAAACGGTCATAACTTTCAAAAAAAATTTGTATCACTAAATGATAGAAGTCTTCGGTTATGCAGGCAAAAGCTTGAAGACAAGTGCCACTTTTTCAATTCAAGCTCTTATTTTTTGCCTTTGCTGACACCGTCTCAAGTAGGGCTCACAATCTGCTGGTTTTCTTGCTAACGGCTAAACGGATTGAATAAAACCTTTTATCTAGTGAAACTACAATAGTTTGCCTAYAGATTAGCATAAAAAAGTTTCTGGAAGCTACGAAATCATTTTTATAGAGCGCTGTGAATACGTGTTAAATTTTTGGTCAGCAAAGCCATCGAAACTATAATGGCTCCTAGCGCAGCCAAAATAAGTTTTTGAGCCAAACTAAATTCATTTCAGTGATAAACTCAATGAAGTCTTTCTATAACCTGAGTTTAAGAAAAATTCACTTTTCAAAATAAATTCAATGGGCGGCTTTTACTGAGACAGCCTCTTAAGTTCTTCAAAAAAATTGATATTTTCAGGACTGCTTTGCATTAAAGAAGCTTAAAGAATGGCCAAGAAAATTCTGTTGATATTGGTATTGTGCATGGTCTCGGTTTTCCTGTCGAATGGCGTGATAGGTAAGGTTGGATTTGTAGCATCAGTACTACAGTAAACATATGGCCAGAAATTCCGAATGGTCCTGCGCAGTAGGTTCTCTAGACCTTTAAAGATAAGCTTATGAATAAATACATTTGTTATATAGCTTTCAGGATATTTAAGCTTGGAAAACACATTTTGCAGTCTACTGCATTCTCCAAGCTTAACTATCCTGAAAGGTTAGTTAGCCGTACCATCAATCGCTTCGTATTGGATAAAACATCTCCGAAGCATATCACGTCCAGCTCCGATGATGCAAAAACGTCCGTACGTGCAATAATTCCTTTCAAAGATCAAGAATCTGCAGATTTGGTT